ATGACAACTCCCCTGCCAGTCTGAAAATGGTTGTAAGACACCGAATAATAGTACATTTTCGGAAAGTGTTGTCAAGCCGGTGTACTCACTTTACGGCACTCTGGACACTTTGTGGAAGCCTCAGGTCACACAATTTCAGCATGGACCTTCTATATTTTCTCTTCACTCATCGTCTAAAGAGTATCCTACTGAATAATTAAGCATCAATTGGTTTACTTAGGTTATTTTCAATGCGAATGATATGATCACAAATCCCTTTTCTAGAGTGGGTTCTTCGAATCATCTCTAGACTAATATAGTTAACAATCATTTTGATGACATGATGACGCAATTCAATTGATGTTTATACAATTTGAGATGGTAGAGGTTTGTAGCTTAGAGGAATGATTTTGATCGAGTTTTGTTCTCTAAGCTGGATCGTTTGACCAGAGAACAAAACTCTATCAAATGTTTATGCAATCTTCCTCTTCCCGTTTTCACAGATTAAACATATCTTACACACATTTTTATTATTATGACTCTTTCAAACATCACGAGAAATTTTTCCAGCACGAACCCCTATTTACTAGTTCATACCTAATTCATATTATCCTACATACTAGGAGATTCCTGATTTGTAATTGGATTACTGTCTCTCTCACCCTATGTTAAACATATTTATTCTGATTATTAATTTCACAATTTCATTTAACATACAGACTTATTCAAGCTGTAGTGACCTACCTTTATGGAAATAACGCGATTGGTATGATGGAAACAATTATTATAACCAATTGTATTAGGGATTGTTTTACTGTACCTGTCTGTTTAAGTGCACTAAAAACACACATTCTTAAGTTGTCAGTGACCTTGCACGGACTCGCGTACACTCAGTAGTCCCAAATGTAAACTTTGGCACGATCTCTGTATTATTTCGATACCACGAGATCGCCAACAAATAAATCTTAATACAGTTTTCAATTGCCTTCTCGTATTTGGTCTACGAAGGGATCTAACCTGGTAATTGGCACGTAGTTTTCCTGTATTGGTTATCATAGTTAACTGCGACTCGATACCATACTAAAAAGTCAATACATGATATTCGTCATATCAATAACGATTCTACTTTATTTTATTTTATGTTGTAAATAGTCCTAAGTTCAAATGCCATATCTATAGCAATACGTTTCGCCTTAAACATGACCGTTTTTGGACCATTAAGTTCGATATATTATTGTAGAATTTGAAGAGAACTTATTAAAACGAATGTTTTATCTCTTCAAATATACGTGGTTTAATAATCTCTTGTGTCAGTTGACTTCATGAAAATTATGACAACCAGTTCGAAAAATGGCAGAAGTATTACCCCAAAAGTAGGGAGAGTAGATAAATACAATCACCCTTTGAAGATTACGAAAGTTCTGACTTTCAATTTTTTGCGGACTCTAATGTATAACCAACACATTCGTGGTTCTGAATGTTGTTAGCAGAGAAACCCCGAATAGATGGTAATCATATTATTGTTTAGAACCTAATTGGTAAACCAACAACGCATTGATGTACAAAAATAACCCCACAAAAATCAAAAGGTTTTTATTCGACTAATAGTCCTGATAAAATTGACGAGTAGTCCTGTTTTGCACGAAGTACTAATAAAAATGCAAGGTTATTAGTGATGTTGATGAGAAATCTAAACACTATTAGAAATCACCAGGTGGACAGATCTGAAGTTTTGTAGCGCATTCCGGATTCCTGGGTATAATACTATCAAGCTGGTCATGACATTGTTTAACACCACCCTATAAAACCACAGCAGCGTTGTATTTCCCTTAAAGAATATCTCGTATTATAATCGTATGGCTCCACTAAACTCTTTTGTTCGAAATTAATCTGGCTAAACAATAATTTATTGGAGTCAGCATTTAAGCAATACGAAACACAAGCATGTCAATTTTCATGATCAATTGATGCTGAAGGCACTTTTATTGGCTAAATGTTCAAACTGTTTATAGATCTATCCTGTATGAAATATGTTCAGAGTCGGTTGTTGACTATTATCTCCTTTTAAGTCATTAGATCATGATGAGTCAGGTTATTTGTCCTGTTTCAAAAACGTTTGTGGTGTGTTTGTTAGTATTCCGAATTAATGAAAATCGCCTGATCGGACAAAATAATAGGACCTTACTGACTGTGTTTACTCTTTAAAATGATACAGACCTTTTTAGACAATTACAGAGGTACGGAACCATGCGATTCATCGGCTTTTACTAGTTCTTTAAGGGAATACTACATAATGGTAAACGTCATCGGGTGGTACTGAGACTAAGGTCATGTAATTTAAAGTTATTGAGACTATATTATTGTTATTACTCAGACTCTTCACAATACACGATAAACGTTGACAACATATTTAAAATTGATGTCACATATGACAATGCACACTGTTAATAAAAAAGCATAAGTACCTTCAAGACTTGTGTAGGTATCATAGGCTTACTTAAACTATTCAATCAATTTCATTAATCAGCTTCATTTGAATGGAATTTATGTGGCTGCTTGTTTTGCATAATCTTACACATAAGCCACGCCATCCAGTGACCTCCTGGCATGGCTCAATTCTAACCTAGTGGCCTGGCTATCAATCTCTATTTGCACCTCAAGAGAATACACAAAGTGTGTTACATATTCGTCAAGAAAGAGTGGAGAGGGGCAGAGCGCGACCATGCAGTCGCGTGGTTTGACTCTTGATTTCTACTTACCATTCGTGTCATCCTTCATTGACGATGATCATTTTTCATTGATTATTAAGTCTAATGATCGGTCCTTTAAGATAAGTACGCGTCCATCTTGATGGGCGATTTGACCTGGATCTAGTGTTACTTCACTGAATCTACAAATGTTAAACTATCTATCTATCTATCAATCGGACGAGAGGAATATCCTTCATAGAATAAGGTTCAGTGATGCGTGAAAGAGCTTTTTATTTAGTTGAAATTCCTAAAACTAAGGAGTGGGAGATTGACAAACTCTCTATTTTCAGGTGTTCATATTGCTACAACGTGTTTAGATACTTACTCCTACATTTATCTCTTCTGTAAACTAATAAGAGGTTTTGGTCAAATGACTGTTCACTGAACTGTGAGACAACCACTGATGCCAAACTTTTCAATGCACTGCAATTACTAGTCGTAGGTCATATCAAATAAGTCAGCTGATAAGGAAATGACACTCCAATCGTAGCCTCAGTCTAAATCATGTGGAAGATGTGAGAACTAGGGGAGGAGCTGGCATAGCTTCAGATCACCACCTGGTTGTGGCCAAGATTAAACTAAAGCTAAAGAAACACATGATGACATGATGAGCATTACAAAGGTTCAATACAGCCATCCTCCGACATACTGACAAACTCAACGGACTAAAGATAACTCACAACAACAGGTCCGAAGCCTTACGGGATCTACTGAAAAAAGAAGAAACTACTGTGGATTAAAAACTGAAAGAGATCAATGAAGCACCAACTTCAAAATGTCAGGTTCTGGGCCGCAAGAAGCAGCATAAAAAGAAATGGATCTCTATGAGAACTCTGAAGAAGATTCAATAAAACGAGAGCAAGAAGACAGTAGTTAATAACATTTGAACGAGAACAGTGACTGTCAAGGCACGGGTCTAATACACAGAAACAAACAAGCAGTTGAAGAGGAGCATTAGAGCTGACAGGCAGAAATATGTGGAAAGCGGAAGGCTCTGTAAGGGAAGATAATATGAAGCAACTAGTTGACGTTACGAAGAAACTAGTGGAGAGGTATAGTAGACCAGAGATACTGGCCAAGAACAAGGAAGGCAGGTCAGTCAATCATATCCAAGAACAGAGGAACAAGTGGGTAGAGCACTGAGGAACTCTTGAATACTCCAGGTCTATTTAATCCACCGGGAGAGACCGCAAGCCGTCAGAGTTACCTATAATATATCTGAGTGATCTTGAATAGCAAAATTCAGTGTCGCAAGAATCGATCCTAAAACTAATCCTATTCTTATACCCCATTGAAAACCTAGCTGGCACAATGGCCACAGAAGACCCGTTAAATATATATGATCGTAAGATTTGGTAGGAGATTCTAAGTCCTGTCGGCATTGTAACTCTTTAGGAAGATTCGCACAGCATTTATAACTAGATTACTAGAAATCTACCCCCTCTTACTGCCAAAAAATGCAAAATGCCGGTGGTGAACCGTTTTAATGCTATTTTTACATAGTACTGTCTAAATGATTCTAGTGTCACCCTCCCCACCATAAAATAAGACTTCAGCATCATCCTATGTGATACCGTGAGTGCTCCCTTCCATCAGCAACCTGCAGCTAACAAAGCTGATCATTTTTCTGATTCACAGTCCAAAACCCACGTAAATTTACATCGGTATTACTCAAGAATGTTTTCGGTGACCACAACGGAAAAATCCCCTACGTTGTCTTCTCAGCCTAAGAGGAACATTATTTTCTTGAAGGGCTTTTGGAAAAGAACAATCGAAAAACGTCTAAAAGGTTTAAAATCCAGATCCTACCCAGGTCCCCTTGGGACTTTTATTTGGGTATGAGTACAACAGATAATATCACCTTAAAAATAACCGTTTCATTTTTATACTAAGCTACACCCAAGAGGATATTCACTAAGTATAGAACAAAAAATAGCCCACGTAAACCTTTTAACAAACATTTTCATAGAAGGGATTGCCAAATTTAAGATTAATTGTAAAAAAACAATGATGCCAAAGACACATTTTAAGAGTCTTCCAAAGGAAAACCCATCGTTTAGCTTTGTCAGTATTGAGAATTACTCACACAACTTTTTGAACCTTATTTTACCTCCATTTACAGAAGGAGCAATGCAAAGGCAGAATCTTTTCATAGCCATAAACGTCCTCCTGCCACCCGAACGATTGTCCTAAGAAACGAATAATTCACTAACCCCAACTAGTAAAGTTTGAAGTTTGAAGCTGTGATAATGAGTAAATTGAATCTTAGCAACTAAATTCAGTTGAAAAGCTGTAGGTTTTTCTAAAAATCACTAGATACGATCAAATGTACTACGTCGACATGATAACAGATTGTCAGGAATGCCCTTGAAAACTGGCAACGCAATTAATCGACACGTGTTGGGCGCTTATTTTGTACCTAGTCTCAACTTTTAGACATTAGAAATGGGACTTTTGGATATGGATTTATTTGCTGACTTTAAACGTATGAACAAAAGACAGGTATTTGCCTCGATATAAATTTTATTAACAATTATATCTAGGTATACTATCAGGTGTTAACCATTGCTATGGTTGTAGCCTCTGCCCTAATGATCTGGAAGCTTTTAGTAGTTATTAGCTATAGCGAAAGTCCTTTAGTAGTTGTCTTAAGGTATACCCACCTAAATTCACAAGCTTTGTTTGATTTTCAGTGGCAGTATGGAACCTGCATTCCACCGGGGTGATGTGTTGTATCTAACTAATTATCCTGATGAGCCCATCCGAGTTGGTGACATCGTTGTATTCAAAATTGAAGGGAGAGAAATTCCTATTGTTCATCGCGTTCTGAGACTGCACGAAAAGTTTGTTTATGCTTTAATAGAGTGGACATTAAGTCTCGTTTTTCATATGGAAAGATGCTATTTCCTTAAACGTCTTTATTGAAATAAAGGGATAGGTGTAGAAATCGTTATAAGATATCTTCATTTCATTCCAGGGCTGTGTGGTTCATTTGATTTACAGCCGGTGGAGGTTTTGAACCCATTTATGTAGGACAACTTGATAATGAATAATGATAATAAATCTCCCAACTGTGGAAGTCTTTAGGAATTTTGAGAAAATGCTAAAGAAGATGTGAACAAAACCCCAATATTCTTAATGGCCTGGGGTTTTCCTCCAAACAAGCTGGAATCTTGCGAAAATTCTCAAAACCTGTATCTTTAATAGTTCTCCCCAATATGTCCACATAGTTAACATTAAATTTACAAAAACATTAGGCCGATTCAACCAATTCCATCGATGAATCCCTGAAATTTCAATATTTACTTCGTTAAAAGACTCAGTGTTTCCATGGAATTCAAGGAAATGTTGCAATGTTCATTTTGAAATACTAGGTTTCCCATAACTTTGTTAAAAAAACAACAAAATCTCTAAATTTTGGGAAAAAAACTGAAAGTTAGAAAATTGCTGAGCACCCAATTAATATTACAGTACACCGAACCACCCTTTTCACCATTTACTGTGTTTTTGCCAGAACAGTGTATTTGCTTATCGTACGTGCATCATATTTATCTAGAAAATGCCAGTGCTTTCCAAGCAAAAATAGTAAAACCAATTTTATTTCCTACAGTTGTTTAGTATATATAGTGACTGCTGATAAGTTGTGTTCAGGATGTCACACTATAAATAATATTTTTATCATGTGATATCAAGTTATCTACTTAAATTCAAAAAGTCCTCAGATGTTAGCAGAAATCAACAATAACACTGTTTGAATGTTCCGTAAAGTTTTTGATACACGTTTCTACGTAACATTTATCATGAAAGTAATTAATATATTGATTGTCAGTCACTTTGCCTCAAATGATCTAGGGTTTCTTTATAGTTGTATTAACACGTCAAATAGTAACACATCACTTATATCTTAATTTCGAGTTCTATGAAACTAAAGATTATCGATAAGGAATGCTTGACAACTTTAAGTAAAATATGAGTTCTTAACAACGTTCCTATCCAGATGATGTATATTTCCTGTGAGTTTCTTGATATGCAACTTGAAAATGTATGACATTCTCGTAATCCTTTTTAGTGTCAACGGTACCATCAAGTTTCTCACAAAGGGAGACAATAATCCTGTTCATGATCGTGGTTTGTATGCTCCTGGTCAAGATTGGCTGACACCATCCCATCTTATTGGACGAGCTAGAGGGTAGGTTTATTATTGGTCTTGCCATTTATGCTAAGACCAAAGTTTAGTTGCATTTAGATTAAACTTACAGGTCTGTGCACATATCACATGCAGCCCTTTAATTTAGTAAGTAGTTTGCGTAAACCCGTAGAAATTAACTAACTTCAATCCCTTTACCTTTCAAATAATCTTGTATTTACCAATACGTTTAATACTAGTAAAATTTTGGACTTAAAACTAAACTACTTCCCAATGGTTAGCTGATTTCATGATTTTTAATCAACAATGGTAGTTTATTCAACCTATAAACAGATCAAAAATTTTCGAACGACGAAAAAGTTCTGGCTTTTATGGGTTCTTTGTTGGTTCTCATTCTTTTAAACAAGATATCCTAATCTAGAACTTTCCGTTGATTTTTCATACAGTGTTCTTAAATAAAAAAACTTCTTTGCCAGACGTAGCACAAATCAATTCCGTAGTTCTGCAAGTCTCAGTACAATTATTATGTCAGCGGCACTGACTAAAAATATACGAGTTTGGATTTTGTCAAATTGCGTTGCCTATGACTCAGCTAAGGTGCTTGTCTCTTAAACAAAGGACGAGTATATTATGGAGCGATTCCGTCTGTTTAACTTTGTGGCTATGAAATATACTCTTCCTGTAGATTATAAGTTTCAATATTATCTCATATCTCTTACCCGAGGAAATTCATTTTCAAATCATCTCTAATATTACTGGTACAGTAATTCTGTACTATATAAAGGATAACCATAAATGTGATGGTACAACTCTATTGAGTGATATTATCGAAAAGACGTCTTCATTTTGCCTAATGACTCGATGGGTTTGTTTGGTTATTTTAAAATAAGGTCTACCATGCAACACTAAGTTCATTATTGAATAGTTGTATTTGTTAAGATTTTAAATAATCCCACTTTGTTTTGTATTTTTTTCAGTCAATCAAGTTAAATCCACTCTTTACTTATTATTTTCAGATTCATACCTTATGTTGGTCAAATCACCATACTTATGAATGAAAATCCCCGTCTTAAAGTACGTTCCATACTATTTAGTTCCATTTTAAAGTAATGTAATATTGAAAAATATTACGATTACATATTTGAAAATTTTAATTTTAAAAGTAATAGATTTTGAAAAAAAACGGATAATTTTACTACATTTGTTCACTTATCAGTTTGTATGATGGTAGTACTTTATGTTGATATTGATTGCTTGTACTTGCCATTAAAAGTTATGTTCTTCCCCTATTATTTATTGGTACAAGGAAGCACCAAACAGATATACGCCACATAAATCACTCGGTTTTTTGTGAGGGCTGAGATACTTAATGGGTGCCCAAACTGAAGCAGTTGGTTTTCTTAGGGGGGCACACTCGGAGCCTTCGACTTAAAGGTCTGATCCACAGAATAGTGGAACAACGTCAGGGGATGCAGTCCAATGGTAGCCGGTGACCAATAATTAGTTCACACGCCATTTGTTCCCTTAGAATACTAGAGCCTATGTGCACCATTAGTTTGGAATGCGAGTAAAGTGCCGGACATTCTCTTTTCGTCCTCTCGATTTCGTAAACAACACCCCCGCCATGAGAAGTCAGTGAGTTGAACTTCCCTGGCAGAGGTTATATACGCGTGGCCATATGAGAGCAATTCGAGAGGGAGAGCGAACTCCCCACTCTCGACCGTACCAGGGCATTCGGGAGCACTTCCCTTAACAGTTAATCTAAATAAAAGTTACCATGTATTTTACTCGCATGTGATATTATTGTAGCAAATTTCCAAACCTAACCAACTGTTAAAATGATATACGGAAATCAAATAATCGTGAAGTGACATTAGGTTGTAAGATGCTTTTACGTAATGTCTATCTAAATGCGGTAATAAGACCTTGGATGACATGACTCAGACGCATTATTTCATTATTTTCCTCTTGCTCTTGGATTCTAGTATGCTCTCATATGTGCCATGAGGGTTTATTCCTTATTTTTATCATTACTACGTTATTTCAATCCTTTCCTTGTTGTTTTCTCGTGGTTGGTAATCCGGTTTGATAACTTTAATCAACACACTTCTGTGCCATACTCTATATTAAGAAAGTCTGAATGTTTTAACCATTAAAATCAAATACAACATCAACGCTATTCCTTATTTGTTAATCTTTTAACCGATAAATCACCTCTCCACTCTCTAGAATTGCAAATAACATGAAATTACAGTAAATCCCAATTGTTTTCAGTAGAATATTTAATTGTGTAGTGTCGTTTAAACTGCTAATAAAAAAAAGTTTTCATATTTATATTTATATGTTTTCTTTCTACTCACTTTTAGTACTCTGTCTTAGGCGTTATGGGTATCTACTTATTATTGAATAGGAATCAAGAGTAATAAAACTTGTACAAATGTACAGAAACATTATATATATATATATATAAGTTTTAATTCCTATGTAACCATAGTCACTTTTTTATTTTATGAAAACTAACCACTGATCGTGTTGTTGTTCAACTGCTAATGACAAGTCAGACGCCTTTTTAGTCAAGTGATTTGTACTTCCTTTTTGTTGCTACTGTTATTGTTGTTTTGTTTTTTTACTTCTAACCGTGATGCTTATTGTCGATGTGTTTGAAGTTAATTTCAGGTTTATTATTTTTCCAAACAAAGCGCTATCTCTCTGGGGGTGGAGGTATTTTTTTCATCGTCTTTCTCTTTAACCTCTGGCGACCTTTAATTATTCAAGCTAACGTCCATAGATATGAGGCGATAACTGAGCAGTAATAATGGTGCTCAATTTTCGGCCAACTTGATCACGGTTTCAAATTGTGCACTCAACTTCTTCAGTTAAAGTAACTAGGTCGTATCATATTAGCCTTCATATACTTAGAGTGTTGTTCAAAGCCAAGCATACGAATCTATACTTCCTAGTAAATGAGTCAGTCTGTACCTTATAGATAAGTTTTAATTTCAGTAAGTGATTTCTATAAATCTGGTATCCGTTAAATTCCATCCATTCATTCAAATACCTGGGAAGCATAATTGACGAACAAGGAGGTTCATATGCAGACGTAAAGGCAAGGATTGGCAAAGCAAGGGTCGCATTCCTACAGTTGAAGAACATATGGAACTCAAAACAACTTTCAACCAATATCATAGTGAGAATCTTCAATACGAATGTCAAGGCAGTTCTACTGTACGGAGCTGAAACTTGGAGAACTACAACAACCATCATCAAGAAGGTGCAAGTATTTATAAATAGCTGTCTATGCAAGATACTCAACATCCATTGGCCGGATACCATCAGCAATAGCCTACTGTGGGAGAGAACAAACCAGCTTCCAGCTGAAGAGGAAATTAGGAAAAGACGATGGAAATGGATAGGACATACATTACGCAAATCGTCAAACTGCATCACGAGGCAAGCTCTAACTTGGAATCCTGAAGGGAAGCGGAAAAGAGGAAGGCCAAAGAACACATTACGTCGGATAATAGAAGCAGATATGAAAAGGATGAATAACAAATGGAAGGAGCTGGAAAGGATTGCGCAGGACAGGGTTGGATGGCGAATGCTGGTGAGCGGCCTATGTTCCTTCACGAGGAGTAACAGGCGTAAGTAAGTAAGAAAACGAAGTAGTTATGACTAGATGTTCATACTATAGAAATAAACCACTTGTCTGTAGTGTTTTTTTCTCAGAATAGATAGTCAAACAATATAAAACATCTGATCGCGTTCTTATTGAAAATTTGCATCACAAAAAGCTAACATTTGACAGTGTAACAGAACTTAAAAAAAATCTATTTTAAAGGTTATGGTTTTTTCGCACATAATTCAACTTCGGAAGAGAAAGAAACAGGACTTCATCTCTTTCTCTAATTAACAAATAACAAAGCTGTGTGATGCATCGAAGTTATTTGACAGGAAAGAAGAATAGTTTGTAAGTGAACTAATGTGGTTTTATTGTATTATACACCATTCAGGAAACTAGCATTATTCACAAATTGATTTTAGTCAGATGCGTATATAATTGGTTGTCGGCCCTCTACAATGATTAAAGGTGCTTGGTTCGACTCATGGCAGGGTCGTGGATGTATAGTAATTAATCGAAGGAAGGTTTGAGAAAGTTGGACAAAATATTATTCCACATGTACTCCACGTATAATGGCATGAATTTTATTTCCACTATTCTGGGAACGAGCTGAACTTTTATGGTTGCAAAAAGAGTTAAGTTTCACATATGTTCGTAAGTCTCATCTATGTGTGTATGAGATAGTGTTATGATGAATGATGTTCTAGATCTGGGGCTGATACACAACATACTACGTACTAACCCTCCAACTGACTACTTAAACGAAAATTATCTATTGGGCTGCCAAATAACATGAATAAGTACTCATTTATGTATATAGATTTCTACGCGTTACGTAATCAATGGTATGCATTCGACCTTTTAAAGTCATTTCTGATTGTCATTAGGTGACCTCATTTGACAACTTTTAACTGGCTCACTATATCAGATAACCTAACAGTAGTTTTATTGCCAGGACTATTAAGGAAATGCGTGTGCTTTTGTCTGTTGGATAGGTTGACAATACTTGTTCGGTTGCACAAGCTTTAGCAATGGAGATTCGTAAATTCTAACCGATCTACAAGGTTTTAAAAAGTAATTCTACTCACAAACACCTAACTGTAAACAGAATTGAACAGTAATTGTTGTTTAAATTCGTTATCCTGTTTGGTAATTAAACTTTAGACAACTAAAATTACTAGTCCTATTTCAATTTCAGTAAAATAGAAATTCCAATTCAGGCATATAGTAAGAAGTATTTAGAGTGGAACAAAAATACTTCTTTTAACTAGTTTCTTATTATAGATATATACTATTTATTTATTTAAACACATAAACATTGGTACAAGGGGGCACCAAACAGATATGTGCTACATAAATCACTCGATTTTTGTTAGGGATGGGGTACTGCCCGGGTGCCCGAATTGAAGCAGGTGGTTTTCTTAGGGGACACACTCAGAACCTTCAAGCTAAAGGTCTGATCTACAGGGCAATGGGCAACGTCTGGAGATGCAGACCCATGGTAGCCGGTGACCAATAATTAGTTCATGCTCCATTTGTTTCCTTAGGATTTTTGAACCCATGTGCACCATTGGTTTAGAATCAGGGTTTCCCAACTCTCTTAGGTGAACATTCCGTGTCCACCAATCCGATTAAAGCGCCAGGCATTCTCGATTTCGTAAACAACAGTAATGCCGCGAGATGGCATTGAGTAGGACCTCCCTTAGAGTGGTTGTATGCACGTGCCTATGTGAGAGCATTTGGAGAGGGAGAGCTGACTCTTCCCACTCTCGGCCGTAGCAGGACATTTGGGGGCCCATAAATAGGAGAATATGATAATCAAAGTAATTCTTTGTGGACAACTGAAAACATGCAATTCAATAGTTGATAGATTAGACTATTTACTAAGTGAATTAGCAAAGCATCTCGATAAAAAGTCGACTTGATAGTTACGTATAAATAAAGAGACGAATACTAAAGTTATTTAGTGAAATTACGAAAAAGAGGGGACGTGATCTCCAATCCATTTTTGTATGGTTTATATCGATACCCAAGGCAGACAGAGGAGTTTTACTAACTTTTGAATACGAAGATTCCGTTGATAATTGTGAATTTTGATCGTTTTAACGGCGTACTAATGATAAACCCGTGAACTATATGTTATTTTTCCATGGAATGCGATGATGAGTCCGAATGACTGTCAAAATCAATCAAGTGAGCAAAAATAGAACTCTTGGATGTATTTTGCTTAACCACTCCAAATGGCGTTCTGCAGTAAGATAATGAACTTGCTGAATTCTACTCCTAATACAACTGAGCCCACTGGGTTTAATCGACAATTACTGTTCTGTACTCGATAACCATGTTGATGTATACTTGGTAGTACTTTTATTCCCTCATCACTGCGCAACATATTATCTATATTTTGTTACATGACTCTTTGTGCCTCATTTTCCGCTTCTTTTTTACTGATAAGATAAGCGTAGTCTTACGAACTATGTGGTAGTGAAACATATAGTGTATATTTATTTGGTATTGCGAGTTTTTTAATCAGTGCGTAACGAAAGAACTATTCATCAATGGTTTATATACAATGTCTATAGGTTGATCCTGTAATTAATTTTCTGTGGGTTTCGCTTTAAAGCGACTGTGAATAAATGCCTAACAATTGGGTTGAACCGAGTAACATAGGAGTGCTTTCGAAAACCGCCGGGTTAATTTTCTAAAAAATTCCAATTTATTTCAATATACTGTCTTAGAGTCGTTGCTCAGTCAGGACAATCATCCAGTCATGGCATTGTGAAATTCCTATTTACATCAAGTCAGACATAGGAGACCTCAATGTTGCAACAACAGATAACTTGTCCCCATGGCTGTACTGTAATTTTTTCATCACAAGATAACCCAATTGGGAAAATCACACTTCTCATTATATTAACCTAACGACGATACGTCTACAAGTCGAGCCCTTATCTACCATCATGGATGTTAGCAATTTATCAGCAGTTAGATCTGACGAATCTTAACTAAAACAGCCTGTTATTACTGGATTTCCATCAGCAACAATATATGAAATTGAATGTGCAAGATTTGGATTGTTTCAATTCAGCACTAACATAAACACATATTTGGGTTAACTGTACGCTAAGCTCCCTGTTTCAAGATAGTTTTAAAGAACAAACGTCGATAGTCAATTTCCCCCTTTTGTTACCAAAAATAATCCCACTTATAGCTTCCATTAATTTATGCTATTTAGAAATCACATATTTTCGTCCCGTCATTATGAGTTATTGATACAGATTTATTTAATAAATTCGGATGTTTCAACTGTTGTTTCCATAGCTGAATTTACTCTGCTCTATATTACGTCGTTATTGTCGATTGTGGCTGAGATTCTTTGCACGGTTGACGTCATAGCATAAGTACTTGTACGTCGAGGTCGCCAAACGTGCATCCCGTGGAATTCAAGTCATCTGTATACTTATGTAAGAAATCAAGCCACGACTGTGGAACCAAGTTTCTCGACGGTAATAATTTAATGCACGTGACAGTGTTTGGGATATGCTTTCCTCTGGCTACTGATTAGCACTGTCCCCATACCATATCTTCTGGGAGCACTTAGGAAGATAATGTTCAGTTCCTCTGCCATAAGATAGACATGACAGCCTGTGACTTGTCACACAAACGCCATCAACGACAAACCGTAGGAAGAAAACTAATAATATTATTCCAGATGCTGACTAGAAAGTACTTACCAACTTACAGGTAAAAATCCCACGTACAATTTCATCCTCAAAAGGTCTAAAGTGACCCTCTTGGTAACTAATTACGGAATTAGTATAGCCTTGTGTTGGTTACGATTGGTGAAAAATATCAGTAGCCTAATGCTCTTATTCGCTAGCTTCATATAATATACGTATGACTAGTTAGTAAGAACCAATGTGGTAGAACTATTAGACGTTTTATTCAACATGTTGCAAAAGAAAAACATTGAGGATAGAATATAACAGATATGACTAAAGCATTCAATTAAAAAAGGCTAGCAATCGTATTAAAAAGATTGCTAACCACTGACAAAGGAAAAACGACAAAAGTGAAGTACACAAAGTTAGTTGAAACAGATAACTTGAATGGTACAAATGTTTTCTTAATAGATATTTTAATTTGGTAAAGAAAACAATCCTAGGTATGAGTATTTATTTTGGTAGTAGAATAACTACAATACTTCAAATGAT